CGGGGCACCACCGGGGCCGGGCGGTGCCGAGGATGCGGAGGATGCCGAGGATGCTGAGGATGCGGAGGATGCTTTCGACCCCGCACTCGGTTACAAGTGTTCACCCAGCAGCGTTAAAGACGGTGTCAAATACAGATAGATTTAGGGCCGCTGGTTTTCTTTCCTTTCCCTCCCCACAGCTTCTCAGTTTACCGGCTCCAGCTTTCTAAAGCAGAAGGTTGGGATGTCTTAAGTGAAATTAAAGGTTTAGTGGTTTCTCGGTGGTTATGGGGCATCTTCACAATGTGTGTTTTACTGTAATATTTATGCCTTTTAAAAAGCACATTATTTGCTTTCAAAGATGCGCTTTAGGAAGAGAATGTGATGCTTCAGTGGGCAGCAAATAATTATGCAAGAGAAGGTAAGGTTACACAGTGGAAATTATTACTACTAACTAATGTGGTGCATGAACCCAAAATGCCTTTAATAAAGCTTCTCAACCAAAAGCAATGGGCAAAAAAATATTGTCACATACCATATTAATGGAAGAAAACCTGTTTGTTTTGTAACAGGGAATAAGATCCTAATCAAAATTACTTGGGGTCTAAAGTAACACTGGTCTTCCAAAATTGTCCTCAGTGTTGCAAATGCTCCCCTCTTTTGAAAATAAAGTTGGTAATTCCTTGTCAGTCGAGCAGAAATAAGCAATAAAATGTTTATTACTTTCCGAAGCTCATTTGTTTCAGCAGGAAACTGCCTCCACTGTTACGCTACTCAAGTGTACAGATTCACTCTGGAAATGGAGAGGTATCCTTATCTGTATGGATTTAAATATGGAAAGAGACAGTGAATGGAAAGAACAACTTCAATAAGATATTTTAGGTTACAACTGAATCGTGTGTTTATGGCCCCAGACAGTGTGCTCTGCAAAATGTTCCAAAACACTCATCTCTAAGCTTTCAGCTATTTCTCCATTCTGCTCCAAATGCTCTGTGAAACATTTTAAAGAAGAGCAAGTAAAAAAAAAAAGAAAACAAGGTTTTCTATCAGCATCTTACATAAAGAAGATAGAATAATTATGATAACTATTTATGACCGAGTTATAAAGGCAGCTTGTTGGTTTTACTTACCACCCATGTTTATCACTTAGGCCATCATTTCTTTCTGAAATATATAAGAGTTTTGCTTCCAGTACATGATCTTTACACTATAAAAGCAATTTTAGAACCATAGTTTTATAGTGAACCTTTTAGAAGATAATGGCTTAAATTTCTAGTTTCCCTCTTTATGGCAGTGATAGGATAGCTGCTTCTATAAACCAATCTAGATAATATGTCATATCTCTCTTCAGCAGCTACTGCACACACGATATAGGAAACTCTCCTGCTACTGGTTACTCATTAAAGTTAAGTGGTAGGGATCCACATGACAAGGTTAAGTTTCAACACTTTAAACCCTGCTGAAAGTTGCTAATAATAATGTTTAATTTTCATTCCAAGTATTTATGGTATCATCAACTTGAACTGGTAGTTTTCTTCTTTTCATTAGTTGGAACCAATGAACCTCCCTGCAGAATAAAAACCTTAAGGCAGAATAACAAAGTAGAGGCAGGATTTGACCCCTATTTAAATTAAACAACATAAATAGGTTTAATGGGAATGTCCTATTAACCAGAGGTAAAGTTTGATCAGGATTTTCAAAAAGGGCTAGAGATTTCAACACCCTAGCACGGAAATATTAAAAAAAACATGATATTCAAATTGGTAGCACTCAACGCTTTCTTTAAATGATCCACTATGTAGGGCAATTAATTATTCCCTTATAAAAAAAATAAAATTAAATGCTTCCTTTTTATTTATAATAAGGCGGATAATAAGGTTTCCAATAAACCATCACCCACAATATCTTGATACTGAAAAGTCATGCTGCAAAACTTTCAGCCAAGTTCAAAACATCTCACAAGGAAAAGAAGGAGATGAGAAAAGGAATGATGTTTTCTATGGCAGGCAGGGCTGGAGAAAGGAATGGGAAGTCAATGGGCTGCAGGGAGCTGGGACCCAGGGTAGAGACAGGGCAGGCACCTGGTCTTGTGCTGTTCTTCAGGGTTGTGCTCACATGGGACTGTGCCATGATGCCTCTCCCTGCTCATTCTCCTGTCATCTCTCTGCTCCTCTCTCCTTTTTAGCGAGGCAATTGGAGGAGCTGTTACATGGAAGGCAGATACCACTGCTATCCTTTCAACCCTCTGCCCCCTGCACGTCAGGTTTGTGATTTTGCAGCAGGGGCAGGGTATCAGCAGTGATAGATGCTTACGTGTCCTTAGAGTATTGACCAGGTCAAACTTATCAATGGGTTTTTATTTCACAGGGTAGGTCATAAAGTATTCATTGCCCAAGGTCATCTAGACTCATGGAATATTTTAGATTGGAAAGAACTTCTAGAGGTCATCTACTTCAACCTGCCCAACACAAGTTTATGTCAAGTTCCTTGAGGCCTGCTAAGCTTTGAAAAACTCCAAGGACAGAGATTTCACAACCTATATGGGCACCTGTGCCAGTGTCTGATCACCCTTATGGTAAAATATTGTGGGTTTTTCCTTATACCTATATTTGTACATCTTGTTTTTCATGCTAATACTTGCCTAGTAAGTCTGGTCTATAGCATTTATTCATCCTCTCCCAGCCCTACAAGGATATTAAAACCCACTTTTGGCTCCTATGTTTCCTTGCAGACAATGATATATGTGGATACATAAAACAAGATAGCTTTAGATATATCACAACTTTAATTTTGTTCCACTTTGAAGTGAAATAATTACTTCCAACCTTTCTCAAGTGATAATGTTAGATCATCCCTTTGAGCATTGTGGGGAAAAACCCTGTTCTGAACTATCATCTCATTCCCCATGTTTATGATTCCTGCTTATCTGTTGTAAATTCTCTCACTGTTGTTCCTGTCTTACAGCCTCACTAGATCACCTAGATTCCTCTTAACATTTCCTTTCTTGTTTTTCACCTTTCTCCTGATTAAGATTTCTGAAGTGCACACTTGAGGATTCGATTTAAGAAGTGCTGAAGCATGCCTGTAGAAGCAAAAGAAGGTATTCTTTTCTGAAGTGCTATGGTTCCAACAGCTCCAACTGAGTGTCTTTACTCATCCATCAGGAGCTCTTGAGGGCCCTATCAACCTTAGACACTCTTGACTCCATCTCTTTTTGGTTTACCTCATGACAGGAATGAATCTCAGTGAATTCAACAGGAACACAGTGGTAGAAAGGAGGAGTCCTGTCCTCTGATACACTGATGGAAGCACACACTGCCAGAGTTCTCATCTATTGCTGCTTTCTGTGGTGCCTCTAGCTTATGAGTAAGTTCTTGTTATGTCACCTGAGTGACTCAGAGGGCACATCTTATTCAAATTCTTTGAGGATCATAGGTGCTGTCAAATTATTTGAACCGGCACATCAAAAAGGCCAAATATCTTTACAATTTTATGAAAAGGGGAGTGAATTATTTTTTTTTATTTCAAAATGCACCTTCAGAATATATTAGGTTAGTGATTAAATGTCATTTAGGAAGAATGTTACTTCAGTTACAATGAATTACAATAATTTGTTTTGAGTCCTACATTTATGCTACAAACAAAACTTCAGATGCAAG